GGGGGGGGGGGGGGGGGGGGGGGGGCAGGGTACAGCTGCTGAAGGAGGATTGGGATGTAAGGGGGGATAGGCTTTGAGCTCAGGGTTTCTCTCTGTTCAGGGTACGGTGAAGTCAGGGGCAGGAAGCCAGACAGAAGGTGGTCTACCTTGTGTGCCAGGAGCAGCCACAAGCAAAATTTTCAGTACAGCCTAGGGCAGGTCTGAATCACCGTGCCTGTCCCACATGGCACAGTAATACACGCCAGAATCACTTTCTTCCAGATTTCGGACTACAACCTTACAGGTCTTCCCTGCATCTTCATAGACATGGTATTTCCCTGGACTGGTTTCTGAGTCCAACACAACCGTGGTGGTGAGGAAGGCACAGTGGAGAAGTCGCTGTGGGGCCTTCCTCTCCTGGACCAGGTACCAGTGCATGTACTTGGTACCTGGTTCAGGAAGATCACAAGTGATTACAACAAATGACCCAGCTGGCCTGGTGACTGGCATCGTTCTCCCTTCTAGGCTGGAAGACATCTGACTGACTGCAGTGGGAACAACACCAAAAGCAATGAGAAAGAGGTCACGGCAGTTCCTTAGTATGGCTTCCCTCTGCAAAAGATAAAAGAAAATTTCCATGAGCACCTGTGCAACATACTTACCAGGCAGCAGGAGAGCCAGGAGGAGAGCCAGAGCCCACTGCATGCTTTTCTCTCCCAGGCCTTACAATGAACGGACCCCATAAGTGGAGCAGAATACACTCTCCAAACTCTAATCCTGCTCAGAAAGGAAGGGAACCCTACAATGGAAGGCAGTGAGCTGGAGCTGGTCTTCCATACTGAGAAGTAACTGAAGCTGTCTTAGAAGCCTACCAAGCTGTTTACCCAGAAACGGTGTGTGCTGGGGGAGGACTGGGGAGGAGCCCCTGCCTCTCTGCTTCTACCCATCCCTTGAGGGCCCTCCCGCAGCAGCTGGGAGCAGGCCCTGTCCAGAAGAGGAGGCCAGGAGCACTGAGAACTCAGAACTGAAGCCCGTTGAGTATAAATGTGGTGGGAAGCAGACTTTAAGTAAAGCTGCCTGCTCCGCCTTGTGGAGTGAGCAGGACCGCATCAGGTTCACTCTCCTGCAACTCAGAGTTTCAATACGTCAGTGCTACTGGTCTTGTCCTGCCATGAAACTTCTTTTGTATTGTCCTGAGCAGCCCTCCTTTTTCCATCTGTGGGTAGACTTTGAGGCAGCTGCCAACAGCAAATCTGAGAAGGCTTGGACCTACTTTATTAAAAGGAATTAACATCAGGTGGGTTGGTCTGCATTTGACTCTGTGTACATACAGATCAATTTGTTAGAGGACTTCATTCACCCTCAAATAAAGAGGTCCCCTCAAGTAAGATTGCAAGATTTAGTTAAAAAGAAAAATGTACTAGGTGCCGTGCCATGCAATATTTGGGATATACTTAAACTAAAACAAACAAACAAACAAAAACTTGTTATTTGTCTAAATTTCTAATTTGCCTGGGCATTCTATATTTTATTTGGCAACCCTGCCCTCAGAAAACTGTGCTGATGTTTGCAGTGTACTTGAGTTGGTAGGTGGACAGACAGGTGATCGAACATGTATAACAAAATGAGGGTAAGACCTGGAGCGATGCACATGTGGATTCTTACCCTTCACTTTAGTGAATCACATGTGTGTTTAAAATTCAATGAAATGGGCAACAAGGTCCTGCTGGTCACTGTGTTGGCCTTTGTCATGTCATTTCTTTTCTGCTGTCATAACATATGGGAAATGAGAAAGGTGGGGGACTCAGGTTGGTCTCCCTTTTGCCTGAGGGACCACATGTGCAGGGACATGCGGACACAAACACTGCTGAACTGGCACCTTTCAACTTAGAAACGGAGATTTAGGCATAATAAAACTGAAAACAGAAAAGCATTATACCTTAATATTGATGAGTTGCAAATTAATGGCAGGTGAGATTGGCCTCTCCAAGCCAGGCATCAAAAGCAGACTCATAAGGAAAATTTGGTAAATTTTATCAAAAGTAACATTCAAAGTTTTATTCACCAAACGGGGCTGAAAATAAATAATAGAAAAGCAGGGGAAATCTTTTCAACACATTTGATAAAGGATTAACATTTCTAAAATGGCATATAAGACTTCTTACAAACCAACAAGCAAAACTAATTTTTCAAAGAAGATCGGGCAAGGAGTACGTGGAGGCGGTTCACACAAGGACGCAGTGTGAGTGGTCAGTGAGCCTGGGGGGCAGTGCTGCCCCGGCCTAGGGAGGAGAAGACCAAACTCAGTTTGCAAAGTCCGCTTATCTCCTGAGCACAGTGCTGGGGTGGAAATCTCGACCACTTCAAGCTCTGTGACCTCGGGAAAGTCAGTTCACCCCTCCTGCCTCGGTTTCACATGTGCTTTGAAACCTCGACAGGGTCTCTTTGAAGATTAAATAATAAGATAATATATGTAAAGAAACTACCAAAAAATGAGTGCCTATATTTGCTATTCATTATTATCATCATAGTTAACAATAATTACTGTGTAAATGTTTCTGATAGATAAGTGAGGCAAACATTAAGTAATAAATGAACAAAAGTGTTGGAATAATATTGTGGTTTTCTTAATGACTAATCTTGGAGTATGGCTATCTTTTTAAGTAAGACACGTAACCCAGAAGCAAGAAAATAAAAGATTGATTGAAAATTATAAAAGCTAAATACATCAGAAAATATAAATGCCAAAGTCGAATAAAAATTATATATATGCACATAAGGTAAACAAAAATATATTTCTTTAAAAGTGAAAGACTTCTTAAAATATTAAAAACTAGAAAATCCAATAGAACTCATAAAAATATTTTTACCTAGAGGGTGAGGAAGAAAAGAGGGAAGAGAAATCTTGGATGAAAGCTTAAATTTCTAAATTTATCTTTTTGTATAATTTTGACTTCAGACTCACATAAATGTTTTACCTATATGAAACAAATATAAATTAATTTTTTTAAAAAAGAGACGAAATTAATTTCAAAATTTAAAATGCAATTGAAACAAATGAGCTACATATCAAGGGTGGCATAAACATATGGAGAATTATTTCAAATGATTTTTTAAAATAGTACTTTTGAGTATATACCCTAAGTTGGAAGAAAAAAAGAAAGAGAAAGGAAAGAAGGAAGTTAGGAAAGAAGGAGAGAAAGAAATCATAAATCATATCTTCTAGACCTAGTGTTGTTAATGGCAGTAAGAATATTTCTTTGATTTATATTTTTATATATTCGTGTTGATACTATTAGGAACAAAGAGTTCAGTATAAAAGAAAAATGCAAATGTAAAATTTTAAAAGTTTAGTAAAAAACACTATGATGTATTGTTTGAATCTTTTTTTCTAAGAAACGCTTCTTAGCTGTAGCAAGCACTAACAATCCTCATGTAATGAGCACTCATAGCATCTATATTGTGGTATCTAAATGCCATTTCTCACGAAAAGTGCCAGAGATCAACTGAGAAATGACTCAATGCAGGACTAGGGCACGATATGTGCAGGATAAACCGATGCCATCTTGTCCACCTGTATCTATCTCTATATTTCTGTATCTCTATATCTCACTAAATGCCTATTTCTTCTACCTATCTTTCATTTTCTATTTCTTTATTTGTATCTCTCTTATTTATTATACTTTCTATTTCTATCTTTTGACCTCTCTATCCATTTCTATGCATGGTCATAAGAGCTGCTTTAAAGTCTTCGTTATTCCAACAATTGTATCACCTTAGAATTGGCATCTGTTGACTGGTTTTTCCCTTGGGAGATGTTGAGATCTCTCCAGTTCTTCATATGCTGAGTAATTTTGGATTGTACACTTCACATTTTGAATTATGTGTTACAGGGCTCTAGGCATTGTTCATATACTGTGGAGAATGTTGATTTTTTTTGTTAGCAGGGAACTAGCATACTCTGAAGTTGCAAGTTCCTACCTGCTTCAGTGGGCACTGGAGGGCTGTGGTTCCAGCATCAGTTCAGTGTTCAGAGCCTTTGCAGTGCTATCGAGATCTGTCCTA